CCCGCCGCCGCTTGCTCCTTGGGCCCGACGCAGCTCTTATACCCAGCCGGGGGCGGAGCTCTGCAGCCGACTCCGGGCCGCCCCTCTCCCCTCTGGGCCACCCGGGCCTCCCTGCCGCAGGAGGCCGAGCTCCTGCCGACCCTGCGCGCGGGTCGCGCCGCCCTCCACGCCACGCCGTTCCCAGGAGTCGCCCGCCCGGGGCGCTAGGTCCCACAGGCCACCAACAACCTGCTGGGCCTGCAGGCACCTTCGCCTTGGCCAGCTCCATTCGCTGTGTTTTCCCGCCCTCTGCAAGCGGCGAGAGGGCCATCGGGGAGGTCAGCGGGCTGGGCAGTGGAAGAAGGTGCATGGGCCCGGCCGGGCGGCATGGAGAGGTTTTGCGCACAACGAAGTGGCAGATTCTGGAGGGAAGCGTGTCGCACCGGCCACCTTGCTCTTCGTGGGAGAGAACGGCCACTGGACGCCACTGTACAAAGCTCCAGCCCGAGCTTTTTGGGGGCTCGTGCGTGTGTGTGTGTTTAACAAAAATAATTTTAATATAGGTGTCTAAATAAATGTGATCCATATCACAGAAGCCGCTCTCCTGGCCTTCCCGTTTCGGCCCGTCTCCAGCAGAGAATGCATTTTCTTCCCAGGGCGGCATAGCAGGGCTTCCGTACAGGGCCAGAGTCAAAGGGCAGGAAGGGGACGCAAAGATCAGAGTCCAGCCGGGTTCAGAGGATTAGAGGCAAGCTGCGAAGTCCGGCAGCGAGTTAGGGACCTAATCCCAGCCCAGAACTCGGGTCTCCGAGTCCGCCCCTGGAGATACAGCGAGGAGACCGCAGTCCCCGCAGGCCAGTCAGTCCGTCTCCCTCCACTTCTCACCCCTCCTCCCTGCGCCTGTCCCTTCTGTGCCTCTCCCAAATGCCCCGGTGTCTGACAGGCAGTTTCCAGGAATACCGGTTATCCCAGTTGTGTCCCGGAGTCTGTCCCTGTCCAAATAAAGCTATTCGGTGGCCTCCTGGATGGGCCAGGTGAATGACTAAAGAACACCAGACTTCAACCTCAGGCGACCTCACTTCTCTCCCGCCGAACCCCCGGGGTGTATACCACCCCCTCCTGCAAGCCAGACACCTTACCCTTCTCAATCTCACCAAAACCCCGAGAGCAGATCCTACACATTGAAACTCCAGCCAGGTTCCACACCTTGACCACAGGCCGGGCTCCCACCCAGCGAAGGGGACCACGCGTGAATATGTGCCCTGTATCTGGACTCTCAATCAGGAGCCCCAGAGGTCTACAGGCGGGCAGGGTGGAGCTGGATTCGGTTGGGATGTGGTCTGGAGGGTAGAGATAGGGGATTTACAGTTTATTGCTGTCAACTGCTTTTTTTTTTTCTTTTTCTTTTTCAAGCCCTCTATTTTCCTTTCTTTTACACAACCTTCACATTCCTTGTCTTCCCTAAAAGGTTTTGCCTGCAGGAATTGGAGAATGGAGTCAGGTATCCAAACGTCCTTGAAAAGTAAACCAGAGAACACTCAGCTGAGAGGTCCAGGAAAGAGAAAACCCTCCACATTTTGGCAATGTTTTATTAGGGATGAATTTTGTCCAAAGGTCCTCAAGGCAGGTATATGGTCCTTTAGGGCCGTCATACTTGGCGCATTTGCCGCAGTGCTAGCTCAGCACCAAGGGCCGGCAATGCTTTACGGTGTGTCAATGCTTCACTACTTGCCACGGGAAAGACAGTTGTGCTGTCCCCAGCCGCCAAGTAACCTGCCTGAGAAGTGTTTGTAGAAATAGCTGGTCAAAGTACACCTCAGAAGGTGATTTGGAGTCTGTTCTCCATTGTCATCAAGGAGTCCCAGAAGCCCAGACCGAGAGAATGGTGAGAAGAACAGTAGGAAGCACGTAGGGACAGTTTTCTTTGGGAAGGATTCAAGCTAGATCCCTGACATCAAACCCAGTGAGATTCATGTGGAAATAGAAAAGAAAAAGTGACCTCAGAGAGAGAGAGAGTTGAAGAACGCCTGCTACAGGCTGGGAAGGATGGGGGGGAGGTGAATGTTGATTTATGGAAACAAAATTACAGAAACAACAGAGGAATAAGTTCTAGTGTTATAAAATACAGCAAGGTGTATACAATTTATTGTATATCTCAAAGTAACTGAAACAGGATTTCCAATGTTCTCAACACAAAGTAATGACAAATGGCTAAGATGAATATATTAATTACTCTAATTTAATCATTACACATTGTACCCCAAAAATATGTACGAGTATTACATATCAATTAAAAAATTGTAAAAGAAGAAAAAAAGACAGCCATTTAACTTTGGCAGGGGAATACTAAATCCTAATTAATGGGAATAGTCAAGATATATTACTTGGGGCTCATGAAATGGAAAGGAATTGAAAATGAAAATGGAATAAAAATCCTCAAAATACATGCACACAACAGAAATATGGCCTTGACATTCTAGATTACTAAGTACTGCTTAAATCACAAGCTCCTACAGGCTCTTCCTCCTTCTGAAACATTTGACTAGCTGGAAATTAAGATTTTTTTCCCAAAATCTTATGTGTATTTTCTAGAACATAATACATAACTATCCTGTCAATATAATCATAACTAAGAAAATGGTGGGAGTCTTATGCCACTTAATAAAAATAAATAATAGATGCCCAAATACCATTTTCCAGTTAATTTTAAACATCTTTAAAAGTTTGTAAATAGGTTAACAATTGCTTAAAATTTCCAGGCAGAATGAAACGTATATTCGAATTTAAAACTGAAAACAACATGCATGGTTGGGAAATAAAAGGGGTTTTAATGTTTTAAAGTTGTTTTCTCACTTACCCTCCAGGCATCCTCAATTTCCTCTGCTGTATCTGATGTGCTCACCAGAACAAGGGCGGGATGAAGAATGGTCACTACTCTGCTGCTCCAAAGAAAAAAATAGGGTTATCACCACCTATTACAGGAAGAGCTCAGATGCAGACAGAGCTTCTGTTGGGAGTGAGGCTGTCCTAACTTAGGAGCTGTAAAGCTATCATTGCCATTCAAAGGCCTTTCTCAATGGTTTAAGCAAATTTCGAGAATTCCTTGGCATTTCTATAACTTATGACTGGCTCGACCCTGGGGTAATTTAAGTTCAGGCACCCACTCTCAGTTATAGACATCTAATTCAAGGACAAGTCTCTGCCCAGGTCTTCTTTTTGTTTGAATACCTAAAGTCTTCAAGAAGTTTATGGAAAATTGTAGGAAAAAAAATGGAAAAAATGTTTGCACCAAAATAAACTCAAACTTTATTTCCATTTTCCCACAAACTTCAAATGGATTTGACTTCACAAAGTTTCTTGTGAAACCTAAATTCTTGCTCACACTTACACATCATCTCACACTGAGATATACACAGTAGATTGCCATTTCTAGTTGAAATATTAAATGGAGAATTTAGAAGAGTGTAAAATAAATATATTCCTATGACCAATAAAAAATATCCATAGAGGCAGAAAGCATGTGAGTTATTTTCAGGGGTGGGGGGAGGAGAGAATTAGTGAACTACTTAAATGGTATATGGGATTTCCCTTAGGGTCATGAAAATGTTCTGGAATTAGCTATTGACAATAGCATTGTGAATGTACTAAAAGTCACAAGATTGTAGACTTTAAAATGGCTAAAATGGTCAATTTCATGTGAATTTTTACCTCTGTTAGAGAGAGACAGAGAGAGAGAACCCTATTCATGAAAGAGAAGTTTGTCACTTTTCAGTAATAGTGTTGATTAAAATAAATGTGGATCACATGTGGTCTCAGTAGATCTTCATTTTTTTTTTTTTTAAAAAAAAGAGAATGTATAAAGAAGAAAAGAGAAACCTTGTCCATCACACTTACTGGAGACTAAAACATGAAGCTAAGTGAACTGTTTGGCTTTCTCCATGAATAGCCAGAGCTACATACAAATTTCATAAATTTC